TCTTGTACGCCTTTAATCCCCGAAGTTCTCTATGAGTTTGGGGCCATCCTGGTCTACAAAGCGAGTTAAGGAACAGCCAGAGCTGTTATAGAGAGAAACTCTGTCTTGAAATAAACAAACAAACAAACAAAGTATGGACTTGTGGCTGACATGTAGTTCAGTGATAGAGTTTTAGGTTGCACAAGGGCCAGAAACTGAATCTGTGCTAGGTAGTCATCACGATGTCAAATGCTGCAGACATTTAAAATTATAAGCACAAATGATCACATACAGGGGAAACTGATATATTGCATAGGTTAGCAGATAATATTTGTTTACTATCTTTTTCTCAACTTTTCTATATTGAATTTTTTTCAAGTGGACAGTGAAATTGATATTCAGAAAAAGAGAAGCACTACTTTTATTTTTAGAAAGAGAAAAGGCTTCTCTTTTCCACAGAATTCCAAAGGGCAGTATCTAATTAACTCCCCAGGTTAGTGTGCTGTGGGAGATTTATTTGTAAGGCTCCCTGTAACCCAAGCAACCTGAAGGATCAGGCACAGTGTTCTCCAAGTCGGCCTAAGATACACCCTTGGCTGCTACACCCCTGAGATCAGCCTGAGGAGCTGATTGGTCCCAAAGTAAGTTGAGCCCTTTTCTCCTCTTTTGTCTGAGACACAGTAGTCCTCCTCCTCCTCCTCCTCCTCCACCCCCTCCTCCTCCTCCTCCTCTTCCTCCTGATCATCATCACCATCATATATCTCTCTCTCTGTCTCTGCTTCTTCACACACACAAGATATATAACACATCTCAAATGCTTTATTGAAATACAAAATAAATACAGAAAAGTGTGGCTGACAGTACTTTTAAAATTGTCTCCTCCCTTCCTTTTCTCCCAACAAGAGAGACTCACACCATGTGCTTTTTCTCAAAGTTTAATTCATATACATAGCCACTCTCTCATTCAAACCCTTACAGGTTGCCCACGTTTCTCAGGCACAGCTAAGCCAGGGCTGCAAAGATGGGTAAGTCCTCAAGAAGCCACAATACACAGCAAAGTCAGCAAAGGCACAGACAATGGCAAGGGACCTAGTTAGTGGATTTCTTGGAGGCAGAGGAGGTAAGAGAAAAAGAGTGAAGAAAAAGCTGGGTGGTGGTGACACACAATTTTAATTACAATACTCAGAAAGCAGAGGCAGAAGGATGAGGCCAGCCTGGTCTACACTGAGTAACAGGACAACCAGGGGTACACAGAGAAACCCTGTCTCAAAAAACAAAACCAAACAGAAAACTAACCGACCAAACAGACAAACAAACAAAAAAGAGTGAAGAATAGGAAGGTTCTAGTGGGATGAGAGAAATGGTGTTATTGTTTTTCTAAAAATAAAAAAGGTTTAGTTTAGGTAAGAAGTGGTGTCTAATATGTAAGCAGGTCATAATATCCACCAGGCAGATGACAGAGCAGGAAGATCAATGCAGAGAGAAAAGCATGTTCAAAGACCCAGAAGAAGGGAAAGTGAGGCAAATATGGGTTATAGCAAGGAAGTATGTAAGACCTCCGGAGACTCAGGCCCCCAGGATCTCAGCCCAGGATCACGGTCACCCCAATCACCAGGCAGAGTCGAAAGCTTGATGCAAACTGCATGAGGCTTTATTGTAGTTGTTTAACGAGCTAACCCCATGTTAGCTGGAGTCTTTCATCCACCCGCCATGGCGAATGGCAAGAAAGATGCTGCAAAGTGTCTGCATAGAGATCTTATAGGGCAGCGTAAGGGGAGTGTCTAGGGAGTCTTTCATCCACCCGCCATGGCGAATGGCAAGAAAGATGCTGCGAAGTGTCTGCATAGAGATCTTATAGGGCAGCGTAAGGGGAGTGTCTAGGGGGACGCACAGGCTCAGGATTGGTGTGGCTCCCGGCTTGGAGGGGTTGCCCTGTGTTGATTGATCAACTGGTTGTTATGGCCCATAGGCCCTCCCAGGGTGGTTGCTATGCTCTGCACGTCATTGCTGTGCACTTGTCCATAAAGCACCCCCAGAGCTGGAAAGCATAGCCCCACCAGCTAACTTTTGATTGGTTCCTTGCCACAAGGCAGGCATCTGACCTCCTAGTGACCAAGGCAAGGTCAGACAAGCACGTGTTCATCTGTTATGGCTGCCGAAATGGGGAGCTGGTCCCTTCAGTGGATAGGTGATACCAAGCTGGGCATGGCTTTAGGTGATACTGAGCTTGGCATGGCTGCTCTGAGAAGCATTTTACAATAAGCAATAGTGACTGTATCACATGAACCGTCTACCACATGCCAGGTCTTTGTTCCTCTACACTGCCTCACTTCTCACAGTCTGTTTTCCTCACCTTCCTGAATCTGACCATGTTCCCCACTTTTATTGGGACTGTGACTCACCCATCCCAGAGGATCCTAGTATAGAAGGGATCCATGGGCCTCCCAAGAGCCTGTGTGTGTGTTGCATATAAAAGCTGGAAGGCATGTATAACTCAACAAATGCTAGCTATAGTCATGATGATATGATGAGGATGAAGGTACCCATCTTTTGACTACTACAACACAGCTCAGGCAGCTACTTCATAATGAAACAACATTTATTGAGGGTCAGAACATTGGGGGTGTCAGGTCCTAGCATCATGTGAGTACACAGCCTATCATGGGGGGAACATGTATGCATCTACATATCTATGTGATCTGTCTTAGTTACTTTTCAAATGCTGTGATAAAATACCACGACCAAGGAAACTTATAGAAGACACAGTTTGGGGGGCTTACAGTTCCGGAGGGTGAGTCTGTGACCATTGTGGTGGACAGGCAGGCAGACATGACTCTGGAGTAGTAGCTGAGAACTTAACGTCCTTACACAAGTAGGAGGCAGAGAGAGCTAATTGGGAATGGCAGTGGCACAGGCTTTTAAAACCTCAACGCTCACTCCCAGTGCCACACCTCTTTCAAAAAGGCCACACCTCCTAACCCTTCCCAAACAATTTCAACAACTGATGACCAAGTATTCAAATATATGAGCCTATGGAGGTCATTCTCTTTCAAAACATAACATGGTCTTTCTCTCTTCCCTTACAAGCCACCAGGATTTAGTCAATGACCTAATCTGATCTGCTTCTCAAAGGCCATAACTCTAAACACAATAGTTGGATTAATTTTCCTTCTCTTAATATACTAATATAAAACTTTGGATCTTAAATCCCTGCATGAGTCCACAGACAGAACCAGAGGGGGTGGCAATGATCAAGCAGACTGTTGTCTCCTGACATTGGAGGGAAAACCCGTGATTGAGCAACTCTGTGTGTGGATTCCAAAGGGACAGAGTTAGGTAGAAAATGAGGAGGAACCAAGAGTCAGAAATGGAAGGCTTGGGAAGCTAGAAGGTGATTATATAACTTATACGCATGCACACAGTGGGAGAGGGAGGGAGGAAGAGAGATGGGGAGGAAGGGAGATAGAGATGGGGGAGGGAGGGAAAGAGGAAGAGAAAGAAGGAAAGGGGGTGAGAGCCTAGGGAGGGTCTGAGATGACCCACCGTAGTCTTGAGGCTGAATTGTGAACCTCTGCTAAATACAGTGATCTTTAAGTACATGGTTTCCTAGGTTTACAGGGGATGTTTGCTCAAGAGGCCACAGGAACTAAACATCAGCACTGTCTGTGAGTCTCACCTGGATCAAGTGACCTCAGCAACAAAGAACTTCATGCACTCAGTGATGCAGGGTGGAGCATGGAACCTTAGAACTGACTGCCAGGACAGTCCTCCGGGGAGCTTCTGACATTCCAGGTGCTGCACTACCTCCACCCACCCCATCCCCACTCAGGCATCAGCACCAAGGAACTCTCATGCCTGCTTCCTACAGGTAGAGAACAGAAGTATCTGCAACAATATTTCTGTTTTTGTTTTTTTGTGTGTGTTCTGGAAATACTGTTTGTAAGACAAATTTCTGCACATATGTGGTGTATTGTGTGTGTCAATTTTTTATTATTATAAAAGTAGCATATTGTAAAAAAGTTAGAAAAATATTAAGAAGCCAAAGGCCAAAACCTGCATCACTGTGAGGTTACTATCCAGAGATAATTGCACTGCCCTTTGGGTTATTTTCTTTCATTCATTTATAGTATGCATATTGTACAAACACACATTCATGAAAGGATTCATTATAGTCATTATATTTCATAACATTTGCCACATTTTATGAGTAGTTTTACATGTATTAACACTTTCTTATGTGATTAAGTATTCTCTGGAAACACAGATTTTAAATTTACATCCAGTGAGATTTGCTCCCACAGCTCTAAGAACTTTGAGAAGGGCAGGCTCTCATAAGATGCCACCTTGGTCCTTCTCACTGCCCCTTTAATTTAGCCCCACCCCCATTCCTTATATACCCCTCCCACCATCCCTGGAATCCACTGCATTCCTCTTTCCCCATAGCTTTGTCTTTTTCAGAACTCTGTATCCTTAGCTTGCAGTGTGTAGCCTTCTGGGTCTGGCTTCTTTCCCTTAGCACAATGCCACCTGTATGATTCCACACATCAATACTAGTCACTGTGGATCACTGAGCAGTATTTCCCAATACAAATGGCCACAGTTAATTTAACCATTCCACAGTTAGGTGATGCACATGACTTCTACTTGTTGAATGAATCCATCCTGTAGATATACAAAACCTCATGTCTCCACAGTTCCTTGTGTGCGTGTGAGTGTGTGTGTGTGTGTGTGTGTGTGTGTGTGTGTTTGACATTTCAGGTAGTTCCCTTATCATAAGTAGCCATTAAATAGACACCTTTACATAACATGTATATATGTATACCTTTATATACTGTACATGTATCTGAAGCTCTTAACAAGCATGTATTGTGTCTTCTGGAACAGAAGGATACTGAAAATAGAAAATACAGATGCTTCCAAAAATAAATTTAATTATATGAGATTATATGACACTTCAGGTCTCAGTGTTTTGTATCATTATCAAAATAAGTAATAATAACTTTAATTCTGTAGTAGTAAATTCTGCCTGGCAAGCAAGACTAGTTAGAGTATAATAGGATTGCCATCAGGTTATGCTGTTTTCCTAGAAGGAAGGGTCTTTAGACAATGGGCACCCTTAGCCTACACAGAACATGGTGGACTGTCCAAGGGTAGATGCAAGACTGGGTTCTCTTAGAACAACGTGGTGATTTTCTAGTCACACTTGAGAACTTGAAGTCAATGCTACTAAGAGAGAGATGATCAGGCTGGCATGCACTGCTGTAAAAAGAGATGGGCTTTCTCTCTGCGTAGATGCTGAAGCTCTGAAAAGAATGAGGGAAACAGAGACAACATAAGTGTGTGACATCTGCTTTCAAAACCATGCATGCACACTACAGAAATATTTAGATAGAGCTGAAATTTCATAAAGCCAAAAATAAAAATTATGAATTTCCCTGTTCCCAGAAAATCACAGCTAATAATTCCAGTTGTCCTTTCAAGAAAGCTTCCCCACCCCACCCCACCCCCCTCTCACACACACACCTCTTTGTGTAAACACACGGAATGCAATTTGCTTCCTTTGCCTAACACCACCTCTCGGACATATTTCATGCTGGTTCACACAGAGCCAATTCATTTTTCCTTGTGTATGAATTCTTATTGTACAAATGTTCCAGAGTGTTAGCCAAGTTCCTTATTGTTGAATACTGTATCATCAGAGTTTAACTGATTAAGAAAAGCCTGTTGTAACTTTAAAATACCAAGCAAAGGCCTAGCCAAATCCCATTTAATCTAAAGAAGGTTTGGCTTTCAGAGTTTTTGAAACAGAAATTACTGAATTCTTTTTAACCAATTAAAATGTGAACTTTAAATTTATAAAACTATCTTATCTTAGTTCAGAAACAAATACCACTGTTCTGGACTAGTTGCCAGTTGTCCCACAGACAACTTCCTTAGGACACTGGAGTCCCTTCTTTTTTTTAATTAGCCAATGGCTCCACCTGCTGGACATTCACTACAATTGCATTTCTGATTTACTTCTTGTTCATACTTAAATCATTCAAAGTATGAATGATCCACCACCACACCCCCTTTTTTTTGCCTTAAAATAATTAACTAACAAATATATGGATACATTTAATTTATTCAACAAAATAAAATAACACACAGAAAAATTATGAAGGAAATTATGAAGATCTGCCCTCATCTTTTTGCAATTCTTAATTTTTTAATCTGGAAGTTATGATTGGTGGTTTGGAGTTTATCTTCTCAGATCTGTTGTCTGCCCCATTACCATATGCAAATTAAACACACAGCTTTGTTTCTCTCTGCACTGTATTTCTGTGTCTGTGCTAGAGGTGCTGGTGTGACATATTTTGGAGTTAAAGATGGTTGTAAGTTACCATGTGGGTGCTGGAATCAAACTCTCTGGAACAGCAGCCGGTGCTCTTAACCACTGAGTAATCTCTAGCCCTATATTTATTTTCTTAAAAGTATAGAAACATTGCCGAGCATTGGTGGTACAAGCCTTTAATTGCAGCACTGGGGAGGCAGAGGCAGGCAAATCTCTGTGAGTTCGAGGCCTGCCTGGTCTACAGAGCGAGTTCCAGGACAACCTTAAAAACTACAGGGAAACCCTGTCTCGAAAAACCAAAAAAAGTATAGAAACATCTCCAAGACATACTGTTAAGTGAAAACAGCAAATCCCAGAATCGTACCTATAGAATCATTTATTATAACTGCTATAAGAGATCTATGTCTGTGGTATGTGTGTATGTGTATGTCCATGCATAAATACGTATGTACTCATGTGCCAGGACAAGAATGTCATAATCCACAAGGACACATGAGAATATAGAAACAGTGGTCTACCTACCTTGAGTAAGGAAAATGACTAGCATAGGAACAAAGAAAAACAATGTTCACTGCATTTTGCCTGGGTTCTGATTGAAGCAATTTACTTACGAGTTCATGACACAGTCCGGGTGAGTGCTGTGGTCCACACACATTAAGAACTTCACTGGTCTACAGGGGGAAAACAGCCCTTAAGAGATTACCCAAATGACTTCCCCCCGTGAAACATTTATGATGTGCCTGAAAAGTGCCAGGAGCATGAAATGCATCTCTGAAGATCCCACTAGCCTCTCTTTTATAAACAATATTAAGTAGGCTGAGAATGGTGGCACATGCCTTTAATCCCAGCACTAGGGTTGGTGGCAGAGGCAGGCGGATCTCTGTGAGTTTGGGGCCCTCCTGGTGTACATAGGGAGTTCCAGGAGAACCGGGGTTTCACAATGAGAACCTGTCTCAAGACCCTTCTCACAAAAGCTAGCATTTACCTACTATGTACCACAAATTTTGATTGTGTGTTTCATTCAGATGTCATTTAACCCTTCAAGCTCCAATGGAGTTGATCCTATTTTCAACTGCAATTTGCTGCAGCTAAAGCTGCCCACAGTGATTTTTCCCATGTTCCCATAACATGGGAAACATCATAAGTTGGAGGACTAACCTTGAACCCTTTAGTCTCATCCAGACTTTTCCTGCCTGCACATCCTACTTTATTAGGAAACCCTTTTGATACATACTTTGCACAGAAGGTTGGACATGAGTGATGATGGCCATGCTCTGGCTCCAGCAAAGAATGCTCAAAAACCCAGCAGAGAATGCGAAGTTCCAGGGCAACCAGGAGGGAAGGAAAGCAGCAATAGAAACAGGAGCAGGTGACAGTGACATGCAAGGCATGAATAACAAGGCAGGCTAAGACAATGCTTCCATGACCATATGACTGGAAAGAATTGAGAGAAGTGAGAGAGTTACACTGCCACTCAGTGCATGCATGTTCTGTGGCCCCTGCTTAGACTTAACCTACCCTCTAGTTAAGTCTACTGTACATACATACATTTTATTAGTAGTGGATTTTCAGGTATTGCCTCACTGTGTTGCCTAGGCTGGTCTTGAACTCCTTGAGCTCTAGTCATTCTCCCACTTTGGTCTCATGAGTTCCTGGGACAATAGATGCAATCTGTCCATACATATTTACAAAAATAAATGTAGCTGTTATTGTTTTGTTTTACCAAAGACAGGCTTTGGATTTCTCTGAGTCTGACCCAATATGGTATTAGCAGACACCAACCAGGAGGAGAGCATCTATGGAGAGACAAGGCTCCACCAGCATCACCAAGGACCCTGAACTCTGGCTGACACAGGACAAAAGGTGTTTCCATTGCATTTTGAGGGTTGGGAGACCCTTACATACATTTGCTTGACCTTTGTTTGGTTAGCCTTTGTAGTTTTCTTTGCTACCCAGGGGGAAGAGAAAAACATTAACACAGAATAGCAGCCAGGAGCTGAGTGAGGCTTGGAGTCCAAGAATCAGCATCGAGCTGAAGTGGGGATCACATAAGAGAGGAGTGACACAGGCTGGAACCCAGGACAGCTGTGATCGGAGAGAAGGCTTCTGGCTCTGGCCCAACTGATACAGCATGGCCTGGTGACTGAAGAAAGAGCCTTCCTAGAGAATTCTTGGGCCACAGAAAAGTGGTGGCAACTCTGCAATCTGTAGTCATAACTGTCCCTAACATTGAGCTGTAATACAGTTAGAATTGTCTATTTAGATGTATTTCTAAAACCAGTGCTTTGATTCCTCAGGAAAATGGGAATCAGTCTACCACAAGATTCAGAAATCCAACTCTTAGGCATATACACAAAAGAAACACACTCATACAATAAAGACATGTGTTCAACTATGTTCATAGCAACATGATTTGTAATAGCCAGAACCTGGAAGCAACCTAGATACCCCTCAACTGAAGAATGGATACAGAAAATGTAGTACATTTACACAATGGAGTGCTTCTCAGCAGAAAAAAGCAATGGAATCCTGAAATTCGAAGGCAAATGGATGGAACTAGAAGAAACCATTCTGAGCAAGGTAACCCAGTCAAAAAAAGACAAACATGGTATGCAATCCCTCATATATGGATTTTACACATAGAGCAAAAGATTACCAGCCTACAATCCACACCACTAGAGAAGTTAGGCAACAAGGAGGACTCTAAGAGAGACATTCATGGTCCGCAGGAGAAGGGGAAAGGGTCAAGATCTGCTGAGCAAATTGGAAGCATGGGGGGAGGGGAGAGGGAGCTAGGAGAATGAGAAGGGGAGAAGAGGAGGAGTGAGGAGGACATCAAGGAGCAGGAAGGTTGTGTAGGGGGAAGAACAAAGAGACAAATAAGAGATACCATCAGAGAGGGAGCCAGTATAGGTTTAAAGAGAAATAAGGCACTAGAGAAATGTCCAGAGATCTTAAGGATGACACCAACTAACCATCTAAGCAACAGTGGAGAGGCTACCTTAACTGCCCTCCCCTGATAATGAGATTGATGACGAACTTATAGGCCATCCTAGAGCCTTCATCCAGCAGCTGATGGAAGTAGAAGCAGACACCCACAGCTAAACACTAAACTGAACTGGAATCCAGTTGCAGAGAAGGAGGAGTGATAAGCAAAATGGACAAGACCAAGCTGGTGAAACCCACAAAAACAGCTGACCTGAACAAGTGGGAGCTCTTGGTCCCCAGACTGATAGCTGGGAAACCAGCATGGAACTGATCCAGACCCCATGGATGTGGGTGTCAGTGTGGAGGCCTCAGAAATCTATAGGACCTCTTGTAATAGATCAGTACTTATTCCTAGCATAGGAATGGACTTTGGAAGCCCATTTCATATAGAGCGATACTCCCTCAGCCTAGACACACAAGGGAGGGCCTAGGCCCTATCCCAAGGGATATTACAGACTCTGAAGACACCCCCACCCATGGAAGACCTCACTCTCCCTGGGGAGCAGAAATGGTATGGGATAGGTAGGGTGTTAGTGGGGGGCAAGAGAAAACTGGGGAGGAGGGGAGGGAGAGAGAACTGGGATTGACATGTAAAACAAACTTGTTTCTAATTTAAATAAAAATGGAGGGAAAAAACTGTTCTCTTACCAGTAACAAACCACAAAAAATATAATATAAATATGTTTTTAAAGAAAAAAAAGTGCTTTGACTCAGGAAGGGACATTTAGTAAGGGTAGGGGATGCTTGCTTCAAGGTTACACAAACTTGGGCTCAAAACTCAACTTTGACCTTGAGTATTGACCTTGGGCCAGTTATTTAACCTCTGTGACTAATCTACAGAGAATTTTTACAGCCTGAAGACAGACAAAACCAGTCCACGACACTACAAATCTAGACAGTGATACCACAGAAGCAGATAGCTATGCCTAACAGGGAGTCTGGCAGATACCCCAGTGCTGGCTGTGGCAGACTGAAATTGATCATCCAACTATGTATGTAAGTTTGTACATTTTCCTGTATATAGGTTAGATGTTCAGAAAAGTGTACTTGCTTAGTTTTGCTTTTAAAAGCAGACAGTGGACAGCACCTAAGCTTTGCATTTGAGTGAGCATGAGAAATAATGAGCAAGAGGGCACTGGTTAGGGTCAAGGAGGCCTGGAACAGGGATGGCGTTACCCACACATCCAGAGGCCTTGGTCCATTGGGAGAATGATAGAACTCATACAACTCTGGGAAGGCAGAAGCAGAAAGATGATGGTGTTGGGCAAGAATACCCCTGATGCCATTTCCACCCAGGCACACCAGTTAGTGTCTAAGAAAGCCTGCCAGTGTTGAACTCCAGCCCCTGAAAAACCACCAGACTTAAACACCTAAGATCTGAGGTGGTGGTGGGACACACCTTTACTCACAGCACTGGGGAGGCAGATGCAGGTGGAGTTCAAGGCCACCCTGGTCTACAAAGTGAGTTCCAGGAAAGCCAGGACTATACCAAGAAACCCTGTCTCGAAAAGCGAAAGAGAGAGAGAGAGAGAGAGAGAGAGAGAGAGAGAGAGAGAGAGAGAGAGAGAGAGTGAGAGAGAGAACACTAGTGAGATCAGAGGCAGGAACTCTGAGTCCAGAGAAGAATTACACCTCCCCCAGGCTTAGAGCCAAGATTTACTAATGCCTATGTAGAAAAACCCTTGATAACACCTGAGGTGAAGCATATGAAGTGTGGGTCACAGTGTCTCAAACAGTAGCTCTTATGATATTCTATCTATGGCAAGACCCATCTATCAAACACCCATCTCAGTAGCTTTTGTACTGTGATCTAAAAATGTGGGAAGCACAGCCCTTGGTCTCCAATCTCATCACAAAGTGGACATGGGTACATGATAATTTTCTGCTGTTAGTATCCTCCAGCTGTCCTTAAAATGAACTCTAACCAAAATAAAATGGGCTCTGGAAGGTTCTCCTTGCCCACACATACATAGGCAACCCAGAAGTCACCATCCTGGCCTTTGGAGTGGATACCTGGAAACCAACCCTTTGAATCACTGTAACCCTTCAAAGTGGTTATACACAGCGCCACCTACCGGTAGTCATTGATACAACTGTGCTGGAACCCCAGGGCCTCCAGTCTGTCTTCCAGGATTTTCACACTGCCTTCACCACAGGATTCCCTAAAACACAGACCGATGTATATTTTAAACAAACAGATTAAAGAAAGAGGAAAACGTAGCAGAAGCTGTTTTCAGTGCTGACCAAAGATCTTTCTGCCACTCCTTTATGTTCTACTCTCAAGGGGAACACAGGGAAGTTTCTGGTTTAGGAGCTATGGCTTCTGGGAAACCGACACAGCCAAATAGAGCAACGGGACTTCAGGGTTTGGCAATATTCTCCTCCATGCAGCATCAAGGCTCTGAAGAACAGGGTCCAGCTCTCCTCTGAAGTTACCACATGGGCTTGAAACAGGCTGTGGCCTAACCGCCAAGCTTCTGGACCAAATGAGTTTAACTGTTTTATCTGGCATTAGTTAAGGCACAGGGTAGAACTTTTTGCAAACCCGGAGCCAAGCCAGGGGGGGGCGTTATCTTAGACTGCTTGGCAGTGGCGTTCATCCATGAAAAAGATGAGTTTTGCACTTGCTTATATATAAACTCAGTTTCTGAGAAGCTGTAGTTCTGCAAAGTCCTGGTCCTCACTGGTTAGCTAGCACCTAGTTGCAGAAGTGGTTGCACCATGGAGAGTAAGACTTCACCACAGAGCACTGGGTTGATTCTGAAAACCCTGGGGAGGTCACTGAGGCTTAAAGAGATACAAAGAAAGAAAGAAAGAAAGAAAGAAAGAAAGAAAGAAAGAAAGAAACAGATGTGTAAGAACCTTATTTACCCGAAGCTCCCATGTCACTCATAAAGATCAGCATGGCATCTGACTGGGAGTGAGCCTGCATTCCCACAGTCATCCTACTTACATTAGAAGCAGAAGACTGGCAGGTCCCTAAAGCTAAGTGCAAAAGAGCCCCAATCAGATCATAGCCAAGCAAAGCAAGATCTCACAGCTACTACCCAAGCCCCATAACTTACACAATGGGTCCCCCAACTTCATGCATTACCCAGATCTCAATTCTTGTGATTTTATCCTTTTGTAAGTATGGGATTTCAAAATCTGCAAAAAACCTGGGAGACAGGAAGGACATTTATTTTTCTTTATTCTTCCACGGTGTTGAGTGTGTACATGCTAGGCAAGTTCTCTGACATCAAGACCTGTCTCCAGCCTAGGAGAAACCTTTCTTCAAGTCTTAACACAGCATGATCACTCTCCATTTGGGTTGTTAGTTTATTTAGACATTAATTATTTTAAAAGTTTCTAGGAAAATTGGGTGTGGTTGTGCACACCTTTAAATCCAGCACTCAGGAAGTAGAGGCAAGTTGGATCTCTTAGAGTTTGAGGCCAGCCTGGTCTACATAGTGAATTCCAGGACAGCCAGGGTTTTTTTTAGAGGGGCCCTGTCTCCCCACACTGCCAAAAAAGTTTCTAGGGTTTTTTTTACATTTTGTGTACATGTACATGTTTATGTGTATGAGGGAGCACATGCGTGTGTGTGTGTGTGTGTGTGTGTGTGTGTGTGTGTGTGTGTGTGTGTGTGTGTGTATGCATATGTAAGCCAGAGAACAAAATCAGGTGCTCTCCAATCTCTTACGGGCCTAGAACTGGAACAAGTAGGCTAGGCTAGCAGAAATAGTGAGCCCCAGAGATCCACTTGTCTCTGCCACCCCAACACTTGGATTACAAATGTGCCACCACAACCTGATTTTTCGTTTTTGTCCTAGGGATCAGAGAAAGGTCCTCATGTTTGGAAGGCAAGCATTACCACTGCCCTATATCCCCCCAGTTGCTCTTCTATCCTCTCCATTTGGATAGTTGCTCGTGTATGTGTCAGCTGTTAATGATTTAGCTGTACAGACAGGCCTCTAATTACCACATCAAACAACTGTTTCACTTTACCTGACTTTACAAAAGCAAGTGTTAAATCGGGACTGGGATGATTTTCTAATCCTTGGGTGTTGCAGTTCTTACCCTTTCACAGGATAGGCTCCTTTGGGCTCTGAACCATTCAGCATGACATTGATCACCCCAGAACTGTCTCTTGAATACTGCAAGAAGAAACAGATTTTTGAGAAAAACGTAGTCACGTCAGTGTGTGTGTGTGTGTGTGTGTGTGTGTGTGTGTGTGTGTGTAATAGCAACTTCGTTTTGTTATTTTAATTGATGGTTTTCAAAGGGGGCAAATTGGCATTTCACATGGCTAGTAGAGATGTAAATTGGTTTATTTGGAGAATCAAATCATCTTTAAAGTCCCCTACTCATAGTCCCCTACTCAGTAATTCCATGTTAGGTGCCTTAGCCCAAGGAATGCATGACATCATGTCAGCCAGAATAAGCCAGGCTGAGCTGACATGACAAACAGCCTCAACATTGCAGTGGCTTCACATGAAGATTCACTGCATGCTCCCACTGAACATTCACTACAGACTCTTGGTGGTTTGGCACTTGGTGTTCTCACTATGAGGAAGCCTCCCATCTGCAAAGCTGTTAACTGCCAGGAAGAGAAAAGGGCCTGTGACCCATCCTATGAGTGACTGATGTCACTCTCACTCACATCTCATTGGCCCATGTAAGTCACATGCAATTAACTGCCTGAAGCAGTACAAACCACAGGTGCAGAAAATAAGCCAGCTGTCTTTGGTGAACAATACAAAGTCCCACCCCAAGCACTGCACACACACATGCGCACTGTGGCATGGCTTGCAAGACCAAATCATGCTCACCAGCTTGGAACTTCAAGGGACTGGTGTACAGTTCCCACTACATACCAACATAACCCCGAAGTCTGAATTATTAACAATAATTAGGATATGCAACAGCGTAAGAAGTGTTTGCATTCAAAGCAAAGTGCAAGATTAGATGAACAGAAGATGTGCTTTGCTACAATATAATTGAGCGTGGCTATGGGTGTAGCTCAGACATTCTGGCATGCAATAGGCCTTGAGTTCAGTTTTTGGTATCATTAAACAAACAAATAAATAAGTGGGTATCTAGGTAGTCTTGTTCTCAGAGCTCTAGTTCAGAGCACATAATTCCCCTCTAAAATGACTGTTCTAGAATAAAGTTTAGGTGGCGGTGCATTGTATACTGCTCAGGCTCACAGGACAGGTTTACTGACTAATGAGATGACACCGGATACCAGGTGCTCCAAAGCAGAGGCACATTCTGTGCCATTTGTCTCCAGCTGCTTCCAAAAGGTAAAGGGGTAGGTGGTGTTTTGGTGGCAGGAATGTCATGGATGACCTCGCTTGTCTTTCTGTACCTTGCCATTCTCTACCACATGCCATTGACTGTGGGGAAACAGTTGAGAAGTGTGTGGATGTGCACGCAGTGAAGCTGTAGGAAGCAGTGGCTGGAAATTCAGTCTCTGATGCTAGAAAGCCTGTTTTCACATCCTGGTTCCCCTACTTATTACAATTTCAAACTGAAGAAAGTCTTTTGACCTCTTTGTAATTCATTTTCCAGGTCTGAACAAACAGCTACCTTGAAGGATTGATTGCTGTAAAGGTAAAATGTTTAAAATCAGAACAACATGTAGCCTGGGCATGTAGCTCATGGTAGGACCTTCGCTCGATATGTGCAAAACCTTAAGTGTGATCCCCAGCACCACAAATGATAATAGTAACAACAATATTGAAATGTTCAGGCATTATGCTGGCCTGCCCCTGTTACCTGGCGGAACAGGCAGT